CAGCTCAGCATCCAGAGCCTCCTGGCGAGGTGGAATCCTCTCCAGCTCAGTCTCCAGAGCTCTCTAATGTGACTGTAGTTTTCTCTCCAGAGCATCATGTGCCAACAGTTTCTCCTCTAGTTCAGGATCAAGCTCAGCTTCTGCAGCGGCCCGATGTCACTGTTAAACCTGTGGGTCTTGCACTTATCGTAACTCCAGCATTCACTAATGAGGTTGAAACTTCTCCACCCCAACAAGAAACCTCGGCTCAGTCTACAGTGTCCTCTGAGCAGTTGGAACCTTTGTCAGTCTGGCAGGAATTTTCAGATCAGCATCCAATCCCCTCTGAAAATGTTGAACTTTTTCCAGTTCACCAAGGAGCCCCAATTCAACCACCATACCCCGAGGTGACATTTCCAAATCCAGAGCAAGTTCGGGCTCACCACCCAACCTTGATTGAGGTCACAATTCAACCATTGGACCTTGGACTTACCAGAAGGCCAGAACCCACTAAGGAGGATGAACCTTCTCCAGTCATGCAGGAGACCTTAACCCAGCCTGCAGAACCACCTAAGGAGGTTTTTGTAGCTCAGCCTCCAGTATATCACAATCCAATAGTTCCAACACCAGATCAGGATCACACTGAGCCTCCAACATCACCCAGTATCACAGTTAAACCTTTAGACCAGGGGCTTACCACAACTACAGGACCTACTATGGAGGCTGAACATTCCACACCCCTGCAGGAGACTATAGTTCCTCGAACACACCCCAAGGTGACACTTCGAAATCCAGAGCAGGTTCAGGCTCAGCATCAAACCTTGACTGACGTCACAGTTCAACCTTTGGACCTGGAACTTACGTTAACTCTGGAATCCAGTGTGGAGGTTGAACTTTCTGCAACCATGCAGCAGACACAAGCTCAGCCTCCAGAGCTCATTAAAGAAGTTGTAGCTCAATCTCTATTGTATCCCGAGGTGACAGTTCCAGCACCAGGTCAGGATCATGCTGAGCATCCAACATCACCCAGTATCACAGTTAAACCTTTGAACCTGGAGCTTACCACAACTCCAGAACCTACTACAGAGTCTGAACATTCTACAGCCCGGCAGCAGACTACAGCTCCCCATCCAAAACACCCTGAGGTGACACTTGAACAACCAAACCTGTCTCAAGTCACAGTTTCACCTGTGGACCTGGGAGTTAACATATCTCAGCAACCAAGGCCATCTGAGACAGTTCTTTTTCCTTCGACTCAGTATTCAGTATCCACAGGTCTTCCTGGTGTAAAATATAGCCCAGAAAAGAAGCAGCCGGAACAGAATGCCACCACAAACATCAGCATATGTGAGCTCTGTAGCTGCAAAAATGAGACGCTGTCGTGTGTTGGTCTCAGCCCAAAGCAGAAGCTCCACAGAGTGCCTGAGCCAGAGCCTAACGCCTACAACGGCACCTTCACCATCCTGTAAGAATCGCCTTTCCTCATTTGTTCTCTGCATCCTGCCTGACATGGCAGCCTTTCTTCAGGTCTTCCTGGGTCCTCCTTATCTCCCCAATCCACACTGACTGACTTTCTGTTTCCACCTTTTGTTTGTCAATGATTCCTTATCTTCATTCTCCTTCTTACTATTTTTCCCTCTCCTCCAGTCTTCTACGTTTAATTGCCCTTATTTTTTCCTTCTCCGTTTTTTACCCCATTATTTAATTCCTTAACATCTGCTCTTCTCCCATCTTTACTCCTTCCTCTTTACAGCAACATGTCCCTCTCCCCGTCTCATTGGTGGTAATACAACAAAGTGGTTAAGAAAAGAGATTCCGGAGCCAGACTACCTGGGTTTGAACCCAGGTCTGTCAGTTATTAGCTTTATGACTCAACTTCCTCATCTGTAAAATGGGGATTATGGTAGTCATCATCTCATAGGATGACTCCTATGGCTGCTAAATCTCCCAATGACTCCAATCTCATTGGGAGATTTAGATGAGTTAATATTGGTAAAGCTCTTCTCTCAGTGCCTAGCATATATTTCAGTGTTATCTATTATTATTATTAAATCCCTCAGTTATATCTAGAACTCATCTTTGTCCCCTGGCTTTCTATATGTAGCATCCATTTTGTGCCCAACCCAGGGCTAAGTACTGTGGGAGCCACAGAAGTATATGGCATTGTCTCCAGAACATGACAATGACAAGTGGGAAGAAAGGGGATATGCCTTAAAAGGGAGGTAATATATAATTAAGTATTAAGAGAAATACAGATACGTGCTGTAATTCACCAGAACCTGTAAACACAGGGGTGTGGAGGTCACAGAAGGCTGCATGGATAAGCTAAATCTTTAGCTGGGACTTAAAGATTGGCTGTGATTTGTCAGAAAAATAATAGGCAGTACAGTCTAGGCAAAGGTGTGACTGCAGGGATGATCAGAATTTAATAGATTAGTCTGGCTGTAAAGAATTGGGTTAGGCAACAATGAAAGATAGGATTATAAAATATCTGGACTATCGGCAATGGGGGTTTGAAAGATATGCTGTGAGATATGGGGAACCACTGCAAGTATTCAAGCAAGAGAGACAAATGATTAAACCAAGAGGCTGATTTTAGATTTCATATGTAGAGCGACCTAGAGAGGAAAGCTTGATTCAGGGAGACCAAATAGAATGCTTTAGCAAAATCTAGGAGTAAAGTGAGAAGGGGCCGAATTAGAGTGGTTGTGATGGAAGTAGAAAGAAAATCCTGAGAGTACTACAGAGGAAAACCTGACAAGATGTCGCAATTGACTAGAGTTGGGGGATTGTAGTACAGGAAAGAGAAAAATCACATGTGTTGATGGGCAGAATGATGGTGGTATAACAGGTGGAAATACAGCAGTTGGGAAGCAGAGTCAGTTTGAGGGAGATGAGTTCAGTCTTAGGCATCTTTTATTGGTGAGCATAAAGCAACCAGAAGGCTCTGTTTGAGTGGAAATGTCCCTCAGGCAGATGGGCAGACAGGTGTCCATTTTGACTTCTTTCTGACTCCCGTGAAAAATGTGCATATAAACTGAATAGTTCCATTGTTGCTGAGGGAAGAGGACAAAGCTAAAGCAAAAGATTCAAAGTCATCCACTGAGTTAGTGGTTCAAACTGAGCCTCAGGCATTTGGCAGCTTCTTTTAAACATGTCTAATTGATGGATACATTCTCACTGTTTAAAAAAAGAAATGTGACAGAAGTATATAGGATAAAATGTGAAAATTCCACCCCACCTTCCCTACCACCAATAAGGTAATTCCTGTTACTGTTTTGATGTGTGTCCTTCCTTCCCATCTCTTTCCTTTGCATTTTGTTCCCCTAATGAGGTAATAACTTTACTCCTTGTTCAGTGACTTGTGCTTTTCCCTATGCAATATGTTTAAGAGATATTTTCGTATTAGTCCCTCTAATTTCTAATTGCCCGTATACTTCTAACACCTGGACAGATTCTGAGGGCACTGAGCCAAAGCTTTGGTGTTGCCTGCCATAGGATTTCTTAATATTTATTTGCTGATATTGATAAACGTTTGCCATTTTTCTCATTGATTTGTAGGAGTCATTTTAGACACATAAGTGATTTTGGAAAAAAAGTAATTGGCAGTATGTATCCAAGAATTTGGACAGATAGGAAGTTCAGGTTCTGAGGAGATGCCTCATTGTTTGTGCCAGTGGCCTCACAGTATGTTTTTATTAATTGTGCACACTGGGAAGCTGGGAAGCTGTCGGAATTAAAAAGCTGGTCTTTTCTGCATTTGAATATTCCCTACATGGTGGCCATGATTCTTTTCCTTATTCACTACATTCTTTTCCTACCTATTCAAGCATATGAACTGTGTTTCTTCACAGAAATTTCCAAGGAAACTCTATTTCTTACATTGATGAAAGTATATGGAAGGCATACCGCTGGGCTGAGAAGCTGTGAGTATACTCTCCCCAAATATGAATACAGAAAGCTAAGTGCATTGTAAGATCCTTCTTGGTCCAGAATTTTGAGGTCAATACCTGCGAGAAAAGGTATTTCCCCTTCCATATCCCAAAGCAACCTAATGATTGAAATTCTGTGTTTATTTTAAAAATTAAATTTGGCAGGACCTCTTTAAAATCAGCAAGAGACAATTTAAACTTATTTTCCATTATACAAGTAATACATGATTATATTCTCAATATATAGCAGTGAAATAACAGGTATAGTGAAAACCCTCCTTTTGCCCTAATCCCACACCCACTACTTTGAGTTTAGTATTAATCCTTCCAGACACTTTCCATACGTTTGAATACATACATATTTACAGATGGCAAAGGAGGTTTGTGTGTTTTTCTTATCTTTTTTTACATAATTAACATCCTGAAACTTGATTCCTTCATTTCATGATATGTCTTAGATTTCTTTCCTTCCCAGTACATAGAGGGTTACCCCATTCCTTTAAACTCCTGCATAATATTCCATAGTATGAATGTGTTACAGTTTAATAATGCCCCTATTTAAGGATGTTTAGATTATGTCCAGTTTTCTTGTTACTTGCATTGCTGCAATGAATATCCTTGTACATGCATTTTTGTGAGCCTGGTCGTTTATTTCTATAGAATAGTTATCTAGAAATGTGATTGTTGGGGTGAAGACTATTTAGATATAAAATTTTAATTGCCCTCAAAAAATTTGTGCCAGGAAAAAAAAAAAAAAGTTGTGCCAGCTTATCCTCCAGTCATCATGCTGTGATGACATTCATTTCCCCACACCCTTTCACCACTGGATATTCTCACTTTTTTTTTTTTTTTTTTGTTAATCTGACAGATGAATAAAAGGGGTCCCGTCTGAATTTGAATTTTCTTATTATTTGTGAAATTAAATATCTTTATATATTTAGTGAACATTTATATTTTATCCCTGAATTGTCTGTCCTTTGCCCATTTTTCTGTTACTATTTTTTTATTGATTTGTAGAAAAAGTCAGTTTAGATACATAAGTTATTTTGGAAAAAAAACATTCAAAGTAATTTTCATGACAGTCTGTGGTCATATCCTTAGTTCAACTGAAGAGACGTCATAAATGACTTCTGAATTAATAATAAAAGACATAACAGTCAATCTAAAAACTGGTATTATGACCACCCTTAGAGATATGCCCCCTTAATCTGATATCTTATTGGTAATGAAAAAAATGCTAGAACCAAGCACTTTTTTTAATTTACAGATTTCCTAAATACTATATGTAGTTTATATTTCCCATGATAGTACCTAACTTGGAGATTTTATTTCCCAAACTTGTAAGAAAAATGAAAGTCATTTGGCACAAGAAATAGATAATTTCCTCTGGGAGTGGAGGGGGGTGGTAGACTGAGGGACAGAGGTAAGAGAAAAAGTTTGAATTTTGTGCTACATATTTTTGTAATTTTGAGATGTGAATATATATTAGATATTTTTAAAAGATAAATTCAAATTAAAAAATTAATTTTTAAAAAGCATGTGTTTGTGAGGTGGTACACTATAACATGTGTCTGGTAAGGTTCGAAGATTTCTAAGTCAGCTTGAGGTTCATACCTTATAAGCAGAGGTTCCTAACTTGAGGTCAGTGGTTCCCCAAACCAGAATTTTTTAACCTCCCTCCTGCTCCCCCCTGTATAACTCTTTGGCAAGCTGCAGAAGCTTATGTTCTTGGGATAATGTTTTAAAATGTATAATAAGTCAAAATATATACAAAAACAAAGGAAACCAACTACATTGAAATAGTTTTCAGAATATTTTTAAAATTAGTGAAATAGTAACATATATGCTTCTCTTAACGCTTTAAATAACAAGATATAGTGGTAGGTCTAATAAATATTATAACTCCAGGGTAGTGATGAGAATAAATGATATTTCGAGGTATCTGCAGCATATACGTGATATGAAATGACCTGTGATTTCTATTGGGGACCAAATTAACTATACTGCTGATCTACTGTGGTTCATTTGCCTACATTCATAATGGAAGGAAGTGATGATTTTAGTTAGAGATTTGTGAAAACTGAGATGTAATTTTATTTCCCATCCAAGTTTGGCACTCTGGATTCAGTCCTCTCTATTCACAGACCTCTGCCCTGAAAGGATGATCCACAAGTCGAAATTGTGTGCACACTTTTAAGTGTGTTCAAGAAAGTGCAGTTTTTTAGGGAAAAGCACCATTGCATTTATGAAATTCTCAAAGGATTCTTGTCTCAAAAGATCGAGTCACAAATGTAGGGGAGAAAAAAAACATTTCTTTTCCTGTAATTATCCTCATGAGTGATGATAAATGGGTAATTTGTTTTAAATAAAAGTACCTGATAGTTGATAATTTGTCACTTTCTGAATTCATTCAATAAATATTTTTCAAGTATGTACTATATGCCACGAACTGTTTTACATGCTAGGGTTACAGGCCCAAGAATGAAACAGCCCAAGTATCCCAGTTCTCAGGGGGTTTACAAATAAATAGAAATAAGTATATAAGTATAATAAATAGATAGATATAATCTCAAGCATTGCTAAGAACTTTGGAGAGAAAGCAAGCAGGGGAAGGAGAGTATATCAGTTCCAGAAGGGCCTGTTGTTTGCATTTTATATATATAGTTAAATCAATCAAACAAGCAAACCCTGAGCCCTCTCAATTTCCTAGAAGTTTCAGAGGTGGAGAGAAGGGTAATTGTCAGTATTACAGAATCAAGAATGAATGTGAAATTCAGAAGATTGCCTTAGACCTGAACCCTGGTCTTTCTTAAATGTTACTTCATGCCTGGTTTTGATATTTTCATGGTGTGAGAAAGTTTTAGATCTGGCTTTAACTCTGAATCCCCATAGTTTTAAAATTTTTTCTTCAGTCAAAATGAATATTTGAAGTTCTACAGATTAATGTATTTTATTTCAGTTATTCAGTTGTTGCTTATTTGAAGCCCCTTTTTGGGTAATTTTTTGGTGACTGGCTCATTCTCAGTCTAAACTTTACTTCCAGGCTGAATTTACCATTGTTATTTTTAAAATGTCTACTGTCCTGTCATGCAAACATCTTCACAGAAAGAAACCCCATTAATTTGAAATACATACTGTTTGGTTACTCCCTGTCCAACCATGATATTCAAACTCTAACCAGTCTGATATGGGCATCAGCCAATCAGAGAAGACAGTGCCATAAAGAGTTGAGGATCAGCCCCATCTCTTTGCTGTACTTACTGAATCCATGTCAACTTTCAAAGTTATAGTTAGTATATATGAGTTCCACTTTTGTGCAGCTTTTTTTCATATACCATCATTTCCTGTGACGTTTGTATATCATTTATGGTATATACATACAGTTTTGTTATGCGATATGGGGAGGCAGAGTTTTTTCCTACCTTTGATGGTATGAAAAGGGTTACCATACACGTCGTTGGACATATTGATTTGGTTTTTTTCTTTTTGAATCATTTCCATGGAAATATGAAACCACTGCTTAGAGGTGAGAAAACAATCAATCTTAACACCATCTGTTGACCATTCCCCCTAACATGTATTCTGACAATCACTGTGATTCCTCCTAAAACGGTGAATTTCAAATTGAGGTCAGGGTGTTTGAAGCATGCTCAGGGCTCCAAGAGTTCTTTGTGGGAATTGAAGTCTTTTGTGTTTTTGTTTGAGTGATCTTTTAAAAATGTGTGTGACTATATTCTCTATAATATGAACCACCTTAATAACTGAGTTGCAGAGTTTCCAGGTAATAATATTTTAATTCTCATAAGTTATGAGTAAAGAATTAATTTATAAGCTGGTATTAAGCTATGAGATGGAATTAATATAAATATGTGACCAAGAGACACTGTGAGTGAAAAGCAGAATGTTTTAAATGTAGAATTCAGTGGAAATAGTTTCACAAGACAACATAACCTGTGCTCAGATCCCCAAGGCTCCTGAAGGAGGTACCACTGTTAATATCACCTGCAAGGAAGGGTATTCTTCCAGGCAAGAAAAACCTACCTTTGACATCTTACAGAGTTTCTTCCGTACTGGCTCTCTCTACCACTCCCTCACTCCACTCTTGGGATACAGGCTATGTGCCTTCCTGCTTATCAGATATAAGAAACTGGTGCAAAACACCACCTGCTCCTCCCCACAGCATGTTCCTAGTCTTTATTGTGAGACCAGGGGAAGCAAAGTGATTAACACTCCTCGGGCAGACCCAGGGGTCAGGCTTGACTGTGAATCCTTCCTGCTCCCTTCATTCTGCATTCTTGAGAAGTCATTGGCTGGATCTTTCCGTTTCCTAATTTATTCTTTAACTGTCATTTCTGCTGCTCATATACTGAGTTTTTTTTTTATTATTATTGCTAACACTTTCATTCGTATATTCCTGAGTTGATTAATGGATGCATTATCTGCTTACATCTGTCTGAGGGTAATAATTGTGCTGTCCTAAGGTTCTCTTGTGCTTTGTTAACTCTGATTCATTGGCTATAAGCTCTTATGTTTGTTTTTGTTTTCTGTCCTTAATGGAGTTGGCTTTCTCGTATTGTTTGGTCATTCCTGAGTGTAATTCATTTTTGTAGTTGAGATTCTACTGCGTTTGTTTCCCAGCTTTAGGGGAGAAGTGAAATGAGCTGTTGGGGCTTATTACTCCCAATGGGTTCCCCTGAGAATAAGGCAGAGGTGGAAGGTGCCTTCTGGTGGCTAGTCAGGGAGTGCATACCTTTCTTCCAGGGTTCTGGGACCTTGTCCCCTTTATAACACCAATTGCTCCTGCCTAGAGGAAGACACCTTTTGCTGCCTGGATCAAGGAGGGAAGATGTGGGGTTGATGTGTGCTGTAGGCTGCTCCTACCACGCTATTCCAACTGATCATCCTGTAGGTAGTTCCGGGGCGTTTCTGGTAGGGGGGCATTTGTGCAGCTGCTCCCACACATTGAGCTAAGGTTGTGAATTTTATGTTATATCTTTTGTATCATTCTTAGCGATTTTGGTGGAAGTTGAAGGGGTGGAGTCCTGACATGTTTCAACCTGCCAGCTTGAAATAGCACAACTTCTTAGGAAACAATTTTGTATCCCTAATACATCCTAGACAAACTCAGACAAATATGTATCAGGATACAAATACAAGAATGCTCAAAGCAGTACTGTTTTTAATAAATAAAAACTAGAAAAATCTCAGTATACACCAACAGTTGAATGAATAAAGTGTGGTATAATCATACTTAGAAGTCATACACTTCATCAGAAACATAATGCAAGCCACATAAGTAATCTTAAATTTTCTGGTAGCCACTTAAAAATAAAAGTAAAATGAAACAGATGAAATAAATGTGAATATCTTTTACTTAACCCTTATATCCAAAATATTATCATTTTAACATGTACTCATTATATACATTATTAATAATATATTCTACGTTGTTTTCATACTAAGTACTTAAAAATATCCAAAGTAATATCATATCTACACGTCTCAATATAAAAATTAATGAGAGAATCTACATTTCTTTCCCATACCAACTCTTTGAAATCACAATTTGGTTTCTAAATTTTATTACAAATACTTGATCGGTATTTATATTTCATAAAATTTAGTCGAAAAAGTAATATCACATATGCAAATTGTTGCTAACATAAACATTGTCCAATAATTACATTGAGTACCAGTTTTTTTAAATTTTAGAATAATTAAAGTTAATTAAATTAAAAATTCAACTCCTTAGTCACATTAGCCACTTTCAAATACTCAGAAGCCTCAGGTAGTTGGACATGCAACACTACATACTACAGGCAAAAACGAACTGATTTTACAAAATAATGTTGAATGAAAGAAGCAATGTGGCAAATAATACATATAATATGATTCCACTTATATAAGTTCAAGAACAAGCAAGACTAAACTGTGTTGTTCATGGCTGATAGAGAAAAGGCAAAACTACATTTAAAAAGCAAGGAAATTTTTCTTAAAGTCAGGATAGTGGTTACCTCTAGGAAGTCACAGAGAGGGTTGTGATTGGAAAAGGGCACACGGGGGGCTTCTGGGATGCTGGCAGGATTCTTTCTTGATATGAATGATGTTACGTGGGGATCTGTTTTGTAATTATTAAACAGTTGGACAGTTGTTCAATTGAATTATTGAACAGTTATGTATATTTTATGCACATATTAGTTTTCAAAAAAAATTTTAATGGGGGAAAAATTCAGATGGCTTCATCTGCCCTGATACAGTTCTGGGTGGGACTTCCCATTAAGGTTTGGGGAAAGAGAGGAGGGAAGGGCAGCTCTGCAACGTTGGTGCCACCCAGAGCTGGGTTCTAACAGAGACTTCGTGATCTAGAGAGTAGACATTAACTATATGATTTGGTGGGAAGAGTGGCTGGTGTGTGTGTGTGTGTGTGTGTGCGCGTGTGCGTGCACACATGCGTGATGGAGAGAGATGGACACAAACGAGAACATGAAAAGAAGGTATAAATGAAAACAGAGCAGAAATCACCATCCCTAAATTAAATAAGAATTAGGTTGTTTAGGTGACACCATTACCCAGCTTTCCTTCACATATAGGAGTTAGTCCTATGTAGTATATAGTTGTAGTTATTTTGCATTTTGATCCAGAAATAACCTTTCCATTTTTCAGAAATCTCAGTGAAAATTATTTGACTGAATTACATAAAGACTCATTTGAAGGCTTGCTACCCCTCCGATATTTGTAAGTTAATCATATTTATTTATGAGTTCTTATCTATAAAGTAGATTATCTATAAAGTAATTAAGGGATTTAAGTTAGATAATCTCTTCAATTTCTTCTAGCAATAAAATTCTACAGCTCTGTAAGTCTGTGTAGGGCCCCAGCCCATCACTAGCCCTAAATATCTCCTATTCATTTTTAATTTTTTAATTATATAGTCAAGGTATAGATAGAAAAATACCCTTTAGTTGTAGAGGAAAAGTGGTAATGAGGTCTGAGCAATTATACACTCCCATATGAACCTTGTTATATAAGTGTTCATATACTCTCCATCTGTATTTACATTTTGTTTATGACCTATGGATCAAATGTGGCCCACAGTCCGTTTTTATACAGCCCATAAGTTAAAAGTGATTTTTAAAGGGCTGTAAATGAGAAAAAAAAGAAACGAAGAAAAATAAGTGACAGAGACTGTATGTGGCCTGCAAAGCCTAAAATATTTACTTATCTGGCCTTTACAGCAAAGGTTTGAAAAAGTTGGATAGTGAAATGAGAGGAATTAAAGTTAACCTCAAATTGTCACCTACAGGACAAGAAAATATAGACCCCTTACATTCATATGAATGCCATTAACTCATAACTTTGATAATTTAATCTAAATTGAATTAACATTTAAATATTAAATATTTATGCAGATGAATTATGTAAACAGTATTGTCAAGGGACTTCCCTGTGGTCCAGTGGTTAAGACTTTGCCTTCCAGTGCAGGGGGTGTGGGTTCGATCCCTGATCAGGGAGCTAAGATCCCACATGCCTCATGGCCACAAAACCAAAACATTAAAAAAAAGAAGCAATATTGTAACAAATTCAATAAAGACTTTTAAAATGGTCCACATCAAAAAAAAAAAAAAAATCTTAAAAAAACATCAGTATTGTTAAGAACATATTAAGTTACCAAAAGAACAAGCTGTTGTTGAGGATTTCAAGGCAGGAATTGTGATGCCAATATTAAGAATGTTTAAGATGATGGTTAAGTGGTATATTTAGAAATGTTTACACTAAATAAGCATATCGATAATGCCCCTAACAAAAATCTCTCCAGCCTTTTTTTTTCTTGTTTTTTGTTTGTCTGTTTTGGTTTTTGGGCCACACCACAGGACTTGTGGGATCTTAGTTCCAGGACCAGGGATTGAACCCAGGTCCCCAGCAGTGGAAGCACCGAGTCCTAACCCCTGGACAGCCAGGGAATTCCCTCTCCAGCTTCTTTATCAAAGAGGAAATGCTTGCCTAGTATTTCTTTTTATTTAGGGATAAGGAGGTAACAGTGTTTTTTGCTATAAAAGCTCAGTTTTTGTCCTTTGTCCATGGCATCCAAAGCTGTGTATGTCATTAATCCTTATTAAACCAATTAATGATCCTCTTTAGCAAATAGATTCTTCTTGCAAATATAAAAGGCTTAAGGGAAGTGGGTATAAAGAGACTCACATGACCCTAAAAATAGTTCTTTTAATTATCAAACCTTCCAAGACTTAAGGGGCAATCACCTTTATATTAATCTCTTCTCTGCCACCTGGGCTCCAAACCTTACAAACACAGTTTGGAGAAAAACAAATAAGTGCTCAGTGAACTAGGCCCTTCATTACTTCTACTATGAAATACTTTATAATCTGATTATTTCACGTTAGCACAAGTATTCTCATTCTTAAAAAAAAATGCCAATCAATAAAAAAGCGAAAAAAGAATATGCTAATAAACACTATGCCTAGTGTTGTAAACACGACGACGGGTAAGACAGGTTTCCTTTTAGCAACTCCAGGGAAAATAAACATGTAAGGTCAAACCATAATGACAAACTGCTGTGGAGGCACCATGAGGTAATAAAATTACATTTCTTTTAAAACAGTCATTTCCTCCTTCTATCCACTCTCCAGCTATATTTTGATTTTATAAATATTTGAGTTTTCTTTATGTCCACACGTTGGCTTTAAACATGATAGACGATGCACATAAGCGGTATCTAGTCCATACTTTGAAGGAGTTTATGCTCAGAGGAAATGGGTTGCAAAAACAGCTATATTTAAAGAAAGAAATGAATATGGGCAATGAGAGCTATAAGTTGGTATTGGAGCACAAAAGAGGGAAAGAAGACTTCAAATTGGATCAGGGAAGATGTTACTAGAGCAATGCTGTTTAAATGGGACCTCGAAGGGCCGTTGGGTATCAATGACAGACATCTTGGGAAGAATAAGCTTGCAAAAGGAAAGTGGGAGAAAGACAAAGCACAGGAGAAATACTCTGAGGACCTGTAGAGTACAAGTGGGAAGAGTAGGAGATGAGAGCCAGATCATCTAGGGCTTTGGAGGCCAAGCCAAGGATAGCATGCCCAGCTACCATGTTACCACAGCAGGGCTTTAGGACAAGCTTTAGCCTGCAACAGAACCAACCACTGGGAGGGCTTGTGAAAACACAAGCTCCACCCCCATAGTTACTGATTCAAGAGGTCCCCACTAGGGCTGGGTATTTGTATCTTCAATAAGTTCACAAGTGATGCTGGTATTTGAGAACAACTTCCCGAGAGTTAATCTGGGGATCGCGTGGAGGATGGCTTAGAAACGGAGAGCGAAGAGATGGAAACACCAGTCAGAAGACAGTTACACCCATCCAGGTGAAATGAGAGACTAAGCTGGAATCAATGGAAATAACATAGTCAGCTATAGTCAAGACTAGGTATTTTCGAATAAAAGTCAATATGATAGAAAGTGTAATATTGAATTAAAGTTACATATTAATTGAGAGGAATAACTTCCTTTCAAGTTGTGTGAAAGGGTATCTTTTATTTCTTCTGGTAATGAATTGGCCTAGAAAAACAGAACTGTACTGGGAAGTGTGTAAATATAAGAATATTCCTTTGAATATTAGAAATTATAATGATATATAGAGATAAAAACTTTGAGCTCATAATCTAGAATTTGATAAGACCACAAAAGATGGAATCTAATCAATGCTTCTGCTCTCAGGAAAGATTACCTTCAAAATCTATCAAGATCTATAGTTGTATATTTAATTTATGAAGATCCTCAAGGAGAGACTCTTAAGAGAGGTGAAGGCAGGGTTAGGGGCTCTGGAAGGTTCAAATAATAATTCCTAAGGTTTGGAGTTTAGACCAAAGCTTCTTATTTATTATTATCATTCTAACCTCTTCTAATTTTTCCTACTAATTAGATATCTAATCGCTAATTGAGGCAATATTTTCCTTTTACTTTTCCTAGAGATTTATCCTGCAATAAGATACAGTCTATCGAAAGACGTACATTTGAACCACTACCTTTTTTGCAGTTTATGTAAGTTACAACTATAACTTCATTATATTTGGAATTTTTATAAAGCTTAATTTTTTATAAAATTAATTTGTTACTCATTTTGAAATATGATTAAAATTACTACTAAAATTTTGTAGCAAATCCTTTTTGTCTCCAGCAAAGATTAGTGTGAGAGTTATTACACAGATCAGAGTGAATCATTGTAGAGCAGTGTTTCTCAACCATGGTGATTTTGCACGCAGGTGACATTTGGTAGTGTCTGGAGACATTTTTGTTTCTCAGAACTGTATATGCTCCTGGCATCTAGTGGACAGAGGCCACAGATGCTACTAGACATCCAACAGTATACAGGAGAGCCTCCCACAGCAAAGAATTATCCAGCCCAAAATGTCAATAGTGCTGCTTTTCTAGAGAAATAAAGATCACTTAACACAAGTATTTAATGAGCATTTACTATTTGTTTCTAATGCATCACATATAAAATCATGGAAGTATAAATCATAATATCTTCCATAGTGAGATTTCATTAGTGTATGGAGGGAGTAGTGATGTTATGTTTCATCATATGTAAATTAGAATTATTGCCAAATGATAACTGTTCTGAAAGAATATATATTTTTCTTCTTCTTTTGCTTGTGTCTTTTTTTGTAGAAATCTTGGTTGCAATTCACTCACAGAACTGAGCTTTGGAACGTTTCAGGCCTGGCATGGAATGCACTTTTTACACATGTTGTAAGTGAAATAGAAGATGAATACATGTAAAAAACTGTGTGTAAAAACACCATGAAGTTATTGGTTAGCTGGGTGTAAGCACAGTTTGAATTCTGGAAAGTATGTCTTGAGAGTCATTTTTTTTTTTCAAATGAGGAAACTAAGGTACAAAGAGGCCAAGAGACTTGTTTAACTCATATATATGTAACGCTCTGCTTTCCATAGTACTGATCTTTGGCACGGGCAATAAAAGGCACCAAGCAAAAACACTCAAATTAACATTGTCATGGAATCCCATTGATGCCTCTCCACTATGCGAGTGGTCCATGGAGTTCCGCTTTTGAATTTAACTTTGATTCCTGCTCATGTGCAAAGTTCCTAACTGCTTAAAATGTATGCAACATAGAGCTGCAAAGAACTAAGTTTAGCACCCAATTCTTCAGGGAGCAAAAGGTGTGGGTGCTTCCCTAACCATTATTAGCTCTTTTAAATGGTAAAGCAGACAGAATTCCTGAACACACACCACAGGGCTCTCCCCAGCCACCCAGAACATGATTTTTCAAAAAGCATATATCTCTGAAGTGAATTATCTGTTGCCAATAGGAACCTTTGCGGTATGGAAAAAGATATTGTTTGTGTTCAGCTGTAGTGTGAAAAATATAAGGAAAATACATTGTTGTAGCCTAATTCAATATACTTTCTTTGCTGACTACTCTTCAATAAGAAGTGTGGGTTTTACACCCCTTCAGCTCAAAAATTCTGTGATTTCTCATGACACAAGGAAATGATAGTGGGTACGTTCAGTGGCCCGAAGGCGATTTTAGACTCAAGGTAAAGAGCTCTTCTACACCTGGCTTTGGAAAAGACTCTCTTACGTGTCTTGCGGTTCAGAAATCCAGTTTCACACAGTTCACACATTTTGGTTAATGAAGGTGTTGAGGCTGTGTCTGGAGCAGGATTAGCAATTCCTGCAGATGCCTATCTTTAGCGGCCTCCTTCCTTTCCCTTGTTAGTTTGCTGATGCCTACCTTGGGGAGAGAGCACCAGGGTCAGTTTTTCTTTTGCCAGCACAAGGGAGAGCAGGCTCATGGCATCCCTTCACCAGGAGGTTTTAGTAGCCTCAATACAACGTCTTAAACTCACCACCTTTCCTAAACATCCTATAACACCAAGAGTTCCTTAGAAGAATCTGGGTTTCACTACAGTTATGTAGGCAACCCAGGAAAATACATTGTGGAAATAAATAAATAAATAAATCACAGTTTAAAAATTAATGAATTCATTCAAAAACATTCACTGAGTGCCATGCCCACTGTGTGTCAGCACTGTACTAACTGCTGGGGATACAAAGATGCGTAGGGCAGGGACTTTGTCCCCAAGAAGCTTTCATACTGGAAGGAGAAAGATGGATGTTGATGGGAAAATATATATGAGAGCCATTCGAGCATCTATGCAGCAGGGTAACAAGGGAGGGGGGTGATGAAGTAGAAAATGGGTGGTAGGTTAGAAAAGATTTGTGTTGGAAGAGGCGTCAACTCGTTCCTTTGGAATTTGTGTTCCTCTTAAATGACAGAAAAAGGTAGTGAAAAAATCGGAACTATCTGGTGTTGGAAATAAATTAGTACTGTACACCTAAAACTCGTTCACAGTTACTCTCAAAAGATTGTCACAGTATAGTAAGGCTTTGTTTTGGGCTAAGTCTTTCTAATAGAAAAAGCTAATTTGCTTCAGGAAACATGTGCCATGATGAGATATAAGAATATCAATGAGGGAGGTGAGGCCACACCATGAAGGCAAATTGAGCTGCGGTCACAGAGCCACCCTAATGCTCCCCCAGTCAGCTAGCATTGGTTTCCTTTAGATAGCTATGTACACGCAAAAGCTTACACACTTCAGGGTGCTGTCATCACTTTTTGCTATGTACTGGAATCCTGGCTGCTTCTCAGATTTACAAAGGCATAAACGCTAAAAACAAAAATAACTTGGGTCTGCCCTTTGGGGTGATTCAGGGTGGCTGTTTTATTTGTAATAGTTCAAAATTTTGAGATTGTCACACCTAACAACTACTATACTTTTCTTCTCTCAACTGCATCTTATTCTTCCCACCTGTAGTATTTTCTCCCATTCTATATGTTTTCTCACTTTCTTGATAGTGTCCTTGGAAGCACAAAGTTTTTAATTTTTATAAAATCCAATTCATCTATTTTTCCTTTGGTTGTTTGTGCTTCTGGTGTCATATCTAAGAAACTGTTGTCTAATGCAAGGTCATAAAGATTTACTCCTGTGTTTTCTTCTACGACTTTTATAGCCTTAGCTCTTACGTTTGGATATTTGATCCGTTTGGAGTTAATTTTCATATACGGTGTGAAGTGTAGGAGTCCACCTTCATTATTTTGTGTGTGGATGTACAGTTGTCCCAGCATCATTTGAAAAGACTGTTCTTTCCACATCGAATTGTTTTGGCACCCTTGTTGAAAGTCAATAGACCATAAATAGGAGGGTTTATTTCTATACTGTCAGTTCTGTTCCATTGATTTACATGTCTGTTCTTATTCCAGTACCACACTGTGATTGCAGTAGCTTTGAACTGAGTTTTGAAACCAGGATGTGTGAGTCCTCCCACTTTGTACTTTACCAACATTGTTTTGGTTTATTCTGTTTCCTTAAACTGCTATATGAATTTTAGAATTAGCTTGGCAATTTCTGGAAAGAAGTCAGCTGGGATTTTGATAGGAATTGCTTATCTTCCAGCCCATGAATCCAGCATGTCTTTATATTTATTTAGATCTTCAATTTCTTTCAACAGTTTTGTACTTTTCAGTGTGAATCTTGCACTTACTTGGTTAAATTTTTCCATCAGTATTATATTTGTTTTGATGCTGTTACACGTGGAATTGTTTTCTTAATTTCATTTTTGGATTACTCATTGCTGGTGTGTAGAAATAATATTGATCTTATATCCTACAACCTTGCTGAACCCATTTATTAATGCTAACAGTTATTTTCCTAGATTCCCAGGAATATGTCTTGTGGTCTTCCAGTTTCCCAGGAATACATTGGAACATTTCAAAGTCTCTGTGGACATCTCATTCCTCAGCTTTTGTTTTTAAGCTTTTCGGTTGGGCTGTTTTTTGCCCCCAACTCTTACCCATTGCCTCATGCAACCGCCATGTTAAAATATTTGCTTGAAAATGTTTTCCAGAAATGCCACCTGAGGAGAGGCTTTTCTCACTAGACAGCTCTCAGTCAGGTCAAAGGCAAACCTTTCAAGCGAGGTCTCCCAGGGGACCACCAGACATGTAAAACAATGACAGTTCTTTGGGAATGAGGCTTTGAAGGCCCTCCCAGTCCATGCCACTCCTTCTGGTACCAGGGATGTGGGCTGTTTTTCAAGGCTACCACTGGCATGGAGAGCAAAGTTCAAGGACAAGTTAAAGCAACACAGATCTCATTTTTCTTACAGAAATTAATTTGTTTTCCTTGAATAAATTGCTCCCCAATTTGCTGTCAGCATGTTGGTTAAATTTCCAGAGTTCAGAAGTTGATTCTGACCATTTTTGCCAGTTTTGTTATTGTTATTTTTGCTTCTATGGAGGGATGAATTTTCAGATGTCCTTCCTCCATCATTTTTACTGATTTTCCTGCAATTAAAAAAAAAATCTATAAAGTCTCAATGCCCATATGCTAATTAAATATTTATCGTGAGAGATGATTAAGGAAAAAATAAAAAGAGAAATAAATAAAAAGAGAAAATATAATTCTCATAGAGGCTTTCCCAGATGGGTAGGTGAAGTTTGAAAAGGTATTTTTATATTTAGTGCTCTGCAAATTAAGGTTAAAGTAACAGATGTTTAAACCGCCCCCCCCCCTTTTTTTCATTCAGGTTAAACACAGGCTTTAGAGTCAGAACTAAGTTCAAATTCTAGCTCGGCTTCTTACTAGCTTGATGACTTACGACAAGTTATGTAACTTCTCTGTGCCTCAGTTTCCTCATTTGTACAATGGTGTAATATATATATCACATAAGGTTACTGTGAGGATTAAATGTTAAATGTTGATCACAGATGCCTGGCAACCCAAAAGATATTAGTTTTGATAATTATCTTTATAATATTCTGCAAAAATACGCTAATAATTCTTGAGTAGAGTTAACCTAAAGTCAGATATTCTTTTCTTTCTTCCTGTTTCTTTTGGGGTTTTTTTCCCCCTTATTTGTTTTAAAGAACTAAGAAAAAAAAAGAAAGAAAGAAAGAAAGAAAAAACTAAGAAGAAAATCTATTCCAGGATTTTGGAATAAAATTTTGTTCCCCAAAATTAATTTGTTTATTTTATTGATATATAAACAAAATGTTATTTATTTATTCAGCAAACATTTATTAAATACCTAGTAAATATTAGGTACTATGTCAGTCACAGGAATAATAATGACAATAAAGTGTGGCCTCTGCTCTCAAGTTGCTGACAATCTAGGAGAGTGACAAGTAAACAGTTGATTACATACACAGTAACAAAGGCTATGATACAAGAATACACACGGGACTATGTGATGGGAGTATGGCTTTCACCAGTTCCTCTTGGATTTCTCTCTTCTTCTTTGGCTCCAGAACCAAAGAATTAGCCCTATTTTTGTCTTTAGCTGGGTAGTTTAAATCATGAAATTTTTAAAAATTTGTAGAGATGAAAGAAAAACACCTTGAATTATGGAAGACACTAGAAATAGTACTTTTTTACAGAGCAAGGGCTTCCTACCAGCATAGTCACTTCAAGGGTTTTTAACCTAAAAAGTTCTTTGGCATATTTTTTCTTTGCTAGCCATTTTTTTTTCTATTTTATTGTTTGTTTGCTTGTTTCTCTTCTCCACTTTATCATCTAGAGACCTGGAGTTCCCAGTGAAAGAGTGTTTTACAGATTCTAAGGGTGATTTATAGATAAAGACAGAAAATGATTTTTTTTTTTTAACCTTCAAGTTCCATACCAAAAAAATGAATATAAGCTTTCATGGAAGTAATTGAAAATGCAGATAATTTTAATTCCATTCCATTTTTCAGAATTCTCAATCGTAATCCTTTGACAACAGTTGAAGATTCTTATCTTTTTAAATTGCCAGCATTAAAATATTTGTAAGTATTGCAACAGTTTCATGGCTCATGAGATAATTTCTGCTCCTTTTTACTTTTGTCAAAGATTGAGTACTTTAGCTAAAAAGTCATAATTTAGATTTTAACTGGGCTATTGAAAATAAGAGTTATTGGCAAAGGAAAGGATTAAGAAAGACTATGTATGGATAAGACAGCCAGCAGAGTATGAAAACAGTGCTGAAGAACACATATAGATATGGAACCTATAGATGCATATAGGAATATTATTTATCCCAGAAAGAAAAAAGGAATAAGGGGTACATTATTTTTTTTTAAAAGAGTGATCAAAAGAGGTAGATGCAATTGAAAATGAGAAGTTAGGATAATAGAAAATGATTCTACTGTTCAGCACCAAGGTCATTAATTTGATGATGTAAATTTAAATCTCTTCAATAAGAGCTGTTTTGGATTATCATCTATGGCAAGTAAGAAGCCAGAATTGAACTAATCACATGTTAAGTATCTTTTTAAGTTTAGAACTTTTGTCTTTGGGTTTTCTATCACGCATGTTTGGGCTTCTCCTTCAGAGACATGGGAGCAACACAAGTGTCACTTACAACAATTGAAAGCATCCTCATGATGACCCTTGAACTAGAAAAACTGTAAGTTGATTTTTCTTACATTTATTTTCACTCAATTGTTTTTTTAGGTTTGTTTTATTATTTTCTTAAGTCAGGTTTATTTATGTATAATTTTCATTTAACAAAATTCACTATTTTTAAATATACAGTGTGATGTGTTTTGACAAACGTATAGTTCTGTAGCCACCACCACATTTGAGGTAAAGAAAACTTCTGCCCTCCCAAAAGGCCGCTCATGTCCCTCTGTAGTCAATCCATCCTCCTCTCTCTACCAGCCCCTGACAACCACCAATCTGATTTTTGTCCGTATAATGTTGCCTTTTTCCAGAATATTTTATAAATGAAATCATGTGGTATGTAGCTTTTTGTTTTTGGCTTCTTTCACTTAGCCAGTCTCTTTGGAGATTCATCTGTTTTGTTGCACCTGTCAGTAGTTCATTCCTTTTTATTGCTGAGCAGTATTCTAGTTGAGTGGATACACAGTTTGTTTACGCATTCATCATTTGATGAACATTTGAGTTTTTTCTAGTTTTTTGGCTATTATGAACAAAGCCTCTGAAAACAGTCACATGTGTGTCTGAACATATGTTTTGTGCGAGCATATGTTTTCATTTCTTTGGGGTAAAATCCCTAAGGGAGGGATTGCTTCATCATATGCTAACTGCATATTTAACTTTTTAAGAAACTGCTAGACTGTTTTCTAAAGTGCCTGTGCCATTTTGCTTCCCCACTGGCAGTCTATGAGAGTTGCAGTTGCTCCACATTTTCACCTGATTCTTATACTTAAAAAAAAAAAAATTTTAGCCTTTCTAGTAGGTGTGTAGTTGCATCTCGTGGTTTTTGCCACATTTTGCATTTCTGTAATAGCTGATGATGTTGAGTGTCTATTCATGTGCAAATATCTTTTTAAATGAAGTGTCTGTTCAAATCCATTTTTAATTGGATATTGTTATTGAGATTTAGGAGTGCTTTATATAAAAAGCAATGGAAAAAGTCCTTTCTCTCAAATATGTGTTTAGTAAATATCTTCTCCCAGATTGTGACTTATCTTCATTATATTAAAGTGTCTCTGAAGATTAGGAGTGTTAAATTTTTGATGAACTCTAATTTAGCAATTTTTCTTTTTTTCATATTTATTTAATTTATTTGGTTGTGCTGGGTCTTAGTTGCAGCAGATGGGCTCCTTAGTTGTGGCTCATGGGCTTCTTAGTTGTGGCATGCAAACTCTTAGTTGTGGCATGCGTGTGGGATCTAGTTCCCTGGCCAGGGATCGGACCCGGGCCCCCTGCATTGGGAACTCGGAGTCTTAACCACCAGGGAAGTCCCTTAGCAATTTTTCTTAGTTGGTTTGTGCTTTTTTGTGTCTTATCTAAGAAATCTTTCTCTGAGACCCCATTGTCTAACCCATAATGACAAAGATTTACTCCTATGTTTTCTTCCAGAAGTTGTGTAGTTACATTTAGGTCTATGATTCATTTTGTGTTAATTTTCATATATGTTGTGAGGGAAGGGTCAAGTTTCATTTTTTTTTTTGCAGTTTAAAAAACTATTTCTGTAGGACCCTATTGTGACAGTTTATTACACAACTTACTGCACCTTAAATTGTGCCATCCCCCTTACAATATGGGACGCTAATAGAAACTTTCTGTTATGCCAAGGCTAGTTGAGGGGATTGCATGAGATTAGTGTGCGGAAAGGGCCCTGCATTTAGCAGTCTGTTCCAACTGTCTTTGTCAGGTCAGCTGACAAATGACTGTCTTCACCATGCCATCACACACTGGTCACTGCTCTAGCCTCATCTTCCTCAGCCTCCCACAGCATCTGCCGCAATTGCGATCCCTCTCTTGTCAGCTAGATGCCCTCCTCTCTGGATATTAAAATTTATTTCCCTATGTAACGACAATACTGTTAACACACAGTACTAAATAAATTAAATTCCTACACAATAATATTACTTAATAAAGATTTGCTATTCAAATTTCCCCAATTGTCTCTGTCATATAATATCATTTCTTTTAACAGCTTTTTGAGGTATAATTGACATACAATAATCTGTGTTCACACACACACATACATACACACCACGAAGACATCACCAAAATCAAAATGTCCATCACCTCCGAAAGTTTCTTAATGTCTCTTTGTAATTCTTACTTGCCATCTTTCCTTGCCCTTCCCAATTGCCATGCAACCATTGATCTGCTTTCTGTCTGCATTTTCTAGAATTTTATGTAAATGGAATCATACAGGGTATACTTTTTTCTAACTGGCTTCTAACTCAGCATGATTATTTTAATCTTCATCCATATTGTTGTATATGTCAGTAATTCATTTCTGTTTATTGCTGAATAGTATTCCATTATATGGATGTACCACCATTTATCTATTCACCATTGATGGACATTTGAGTTGTTTCAGTCTTTGTCTATTACAGATAAAGTTGCTATGAATATTTGTGTACAAGTCTTTGTATGGATGTATACTTCCATTTCTCTTGGGTAAATACCTGCAAGTAGAATGGATGGATCATTGGTAAGTGTATGTTTAAGTTTTTAAAGAATACCTATCTTCCATAGTGGTTTGATCATTTTACATCTCTACCAGCAGTGTATGAGAGCTGCATGTTCTTCACGTTGTGGCCAACATTTGCTATGCTCAGTATTTTTAATTTTACATAGTTTAATAGGTGTGTAGTTGTATCTCACTGTAGCATCCCTAATGATTAATCATGTCAAACATCTTTTCATATGCTTATTTTCCATCTGTATATCTTTGAATCTTTTATCTGTATTTTTCTCGAGTTTTGAGAGTTCTTTATATATTCTGGAAATTAGTCCTTTATCCAATATGTAAGTTGCTAAGTATTTTCTCCCATTCTGTGACTCATCTTTTCGTTCTCTTGGGAGTGTCTTTTGCAGGACAGAAATTCTTAATTTTGATGGTGTCTAATTTATCTATTTTATTCTTTTATGGATTATGCTTTTGGTGTTGTATCTAAGAAATCTTGCTTAACTCAAGGTCATAAAATTTTTCAGCCGTTTTTTTTTTTTTTTGGGGGTTTTTTTTTTTTTTTGCGGTCCCCCAGCCTCTCACTGTTGTGGCCTCTCCCGCCGCGGAGCACAGGTTCCGGACGCGCAGGCTCAGTGGCCATGGCTCAAGGGCCCAGCCGCTCTGCGGCATGTGGGATCTTCCCGGACCGGGGCACGAACCCGTGTCCCCTGCATCGGCAGGCAGACTCTCAACCACTGCGCCACCAGGGAAGCCCTCACCTGTTTTGTTCTAGAAGTTTTACAGTTTATGTTTTACATTTAGATCTTTGAACCAGTTTGAGTTCATTTCTGTGTATGGTTCGGATGAAAGTTCTTTTTTTTTTTTCCTTTTTCACCTAGATATTCAATTTTTCCAGCATCATTTGTTGAAAAGACTATCGTTTCTCCACTTAAATACTTTTGAACCTGAAAGTCAGTTCTCCACATCTCTCTTCTTCAGAACTTTCTATTCTGTTCCTTTGATCTATCTTTACACAACTATCACAGTGTCTTGAAGGTGTAGCTTCATAAACCTTGAAATCAGTTACTGTTAGTTCTCCAACTTTGTTCTTTTTCACCATTGTTTTAGTTATTCTAAATTTTATTTCCACATGAATTTTAGAATTAGCCTGTCAATTTCTATAGAAAAGCCTACTGGGATTTTGATCTATAAATCGATTTGGGGAGAACTGATGTCTCAACAATATTGAATCTTCTGATCCATGAATACTTTATATCTCTCCATTTATTTAGGTCTTCCTTAATTTCCCGCAGCAATATTTTAGAGTTTTCAGTGTGCAAGTCTTTTACATCTTTTGTCAGATTTATTCTAAGTATTTTATATGTTTGATTCTATTATAAGTAGTATTTTAAAACTTTGATCTCTGATTGTTTGTTGAGATAAATTAATCTTTTTGTATGTTAATTGTGTACCCTGCAAACTTGATAAACTCATTTATTAGTTCCAGTAGTATTTTTGTAGATTCTATCAGGTTTTCTACATAATCATGTTATCTGCAAACAGAGATAGATTTACTTCGTCCTTTCCATTCTGAATATCTCTTTTCTTTTTGTTGCCCTATGGCACTGGCTAGAACCTTCAGTGCAATGTCAAATAGAAGTAATGAGAGCAGACAGCCTTGCCTTTGTCCTGATCCTGGAGAGAAAGTACTTTGTTCTTCGCCATTAAATATGATGTTAGGTATTTTGTAGAAGTCACTTATCAAGTTGAGGAAGTCTCCTTCCATTCCTAGTCTAATTTCTTTAATGTGGAATGGATGTTAGATTCTTTCATTCTTTTCCTGCATCTATGGCAATGACTATGTGATTTTTCTCTTCTTTTATTTTCTTAATTTGTTTATTTATTTTTGGCCGCATTGGGTCTTCTTTGCTGCACGCAGGCTTTCTCTAGTTGTGGCGAGCAGGGACTACTCTTCGTTGCAGTATGCAGGCTTCTCACTGCGGTGGCTTCTCTTGTTGCAGAGCACGGGCTCTAGGTGCATGGGCTTCACTAGTTGTGGCACATGGGCTCAGTAGTTGTGGGTCACGGGTTCTAGAACGCAGGCTCAGTAGTTGTGGTGCACAGGCTTAGTTGCTCCATGGCATGTGGGATCTTCCCAGACCAGGGTTCAAACCCATGTCCCCTGCACCGGCAGGTGGATTCTTAACCACTGCCCCACCAGAGATGTCCTGATTTTTCTTTTGTAGTGTACTAAGTTGGGTAAGTTGATTTTCAAATATTAAAGCAACCTTTCATTCTTGAGATAAACCCCACTTGGTCATGATGTATCATCTTTTTATATATTATTGGATTTGATATGCTAAAATTTTGTTAAGAATTTTTGCCTCTGAGTTCATGAGAGATATTGGTCTATAGTTTTCTTGTAATGTCATTGTCTAATCTTGGTATAGTGAAAGTTGGCCTCATAAATAAGTTGGGAAGTATTCCCTTCTCTTCAACTTTCTGGTAGAGTTTGTGTAGAATTGGCATTATTTTATTCCTTAAATGTTCGGTAGAATTTATCAGTTAAGCCACCTGGGCTTGAAGCTTTCTTTGTTGGAAGGTTTTAAACTGCGCATCCAATTTCTTTAATATCTTTATTCTTGAATAAACTTTAGTAGTGCATGTCTTTCAAGGAATTTGTCCATTTCATCTTGAATTTATTGGTATAAAGTATTCTATAATATTCTCTTATTATCCTTTTAATATCTATAGTACTTTTCTATTTTGCAGTTTATTTATTTCTACTTTGATCTTTATTGTGTTCTTTCTTCTCTTACTCTGTGACTAATTTGCTCTTGTTTTTCCAGTGTAAGGTGGAAGTTGAGGAAGCTGAGTACAGCATTAGGAATATCCCACATGTTGACATAATATGTTTTCAGTTTCAGTGAGTTCAAAATAGTTTCTGATTTCCCTTTTGATTTCTTCTTTGACCACAAAGTTACTCAGAAGTGTGTTGTTTAGTTTCCAAATATTTGGAGCTTTTTCAGCATTTTTAATTTCTAATTTAATTCCATTGTGGTCAGAGACATATATTGATTGACTAGAATCCTTGAAAAAAAATTTTAAAGTATTTTTTTAAGTTATTTTTTTGCTGCGTTGGGTCTTTTTTGCTTTGCCTGGGCTTTCTCTAGTTGCGGCGAGCAGGGGCTACCCTTCCTTGTGGTGCACCGGCTTCTCATTGGGTGGCTTCTCTTGTTGCAGAGCACAGTCTCTAGGTGCGTGGGCTTCAGTAGTTGTGGCACACAGGCTCTAGAGTGCAGGCTCAGTAGTTGTGGTGTACGGGCTTAGTTGTTCTGCGGCATGTGGGATCTTGCCTGACCAGGGATTGAACCCGTGTCCCCTGCATTGGCAGGCAGATTCTTAACCACTGAACCACCAGGGAAGTCCCAATTCCAGTATTCTTAATCTTTTGTGTAGATCCATATTCCAATCTGGTGTCATTTTCCTTCTGCTTAAAAATACTTCTTTTAACATTTCTTATAGGGAAAGTCTACTAGTAATGAATTCTTTCAGCTTTTGTATGTCTGAGGTAGTCTTTATTTTGCTTTTGTTTTGACAGACGTGGGTATAGAATTCTAGCTTGATAGAATTCAATTCACTACTTTAAAGATGTTATTCCACTGAGTTCTCGTTTACATTGTTTCCAACAAGAATTCTGCTGTCATTGTTATCTTTGTTCCTCTGTATGTAGTGTATAGTTTTTTCCTCTGGCTGCTTTAAAATTTTTCTCTTTATTGCTGGTTTTGAGCAATTTGATTATTTTTTGTGCCTTGGTGTAGTTTTGTCCATGTTTCTTATGCTTAAAGTTCATTGATCTTGACTTTGTGTTTATAGTGTTTACCAATGTAGAAAAATTTGGGGTATTATTTCTTCAAATTTTTGTATTTCTCCTCTCCTTCATGGACTCTAAGTACACATGTATTAGGCCACTTGACGTTGTTGCACAATTTGCTGATGCTCTATTCATTTTTGTTGTTGTTTTGTTTTGTTACACGTTTTGTTTCATTTTGGATAGTTTCTATTACAATGCCTTAATGTTCACTGACCCTTTCTTCTGCAGTGTCTAATCTGCCATTAACCTCATTCAATGTCTTTTTCAGTTAGACATTGTTTTTAATCTCTAGAAGCTCAATTTGGGTCTGTTTTACATTTTCCATGCCTCTACTTAACATTTTCAGTGTTTAGTCTGGGTTTCTTAACAACTGAAATACACTTCTAATAACTTTTCTTCATGTATAATAACTTTTTTTTTTTTTTGGTGGTATGCGGGCCTCTCACTGTTGTGGCCTTTCTCGTGGCAGACCACAGACTCTGGATGCACAGGCTCAGGAGAGCCCCATGTATAATACCTTTTTAAATGTTCTTTTCTACCAATTCTAACATCTGTATAGATTATGGGTTAGTTTTGATTGATTGCCTTTTCTCCTCAGTATGGGTCATATTTTCCTACTTCTTTGCATGCTTGGCAATTTTTCATATGATAACAGATGTTGTGAGTTTAGTTTATTGTGTGCTATATATATTTATATTCCTGTAAAATGCTTGGGCTTTGTTTTGTGTGAAGTTAATTTACTCAGAACAATTTTATTCTTTTACGTCTAGCTGTTAAGATTCATTGGGTAGGAGTCCACATAGACTTTAGTCTGGAGCTCATTATTTGCAACTACTGAGACAAGTCCTTTCTGAGTATCATGAGGTTTTCCAGTCTGACTTGTAGGAACAGGTACTATTCCTACAACCCTGTGTGATAACCAGTTATTCTTATTATTAATCCTTTCATGTGGTTCTTTTCCTGGCATCAAGTAATTCCTCACACAAATGTACTGACCAATACTGTGTTGAACTCTCAAGAGATCCCTCTGCATATCTCCAGAGTTCTTTGTCTGTGCACTTCTTTTCTCTCTGATACTCTGCTTTGTGAACTCGTTACCTTGGTTTTCCCAGACTCTCAACTCCATTTCCTCAGTCAGGGAGTATACCAGTCTCGGCCTGGACTTCTCTTCCCTGTACAATGACCTGGAAACTCTCTCAGAGAAGTAAGTCAGGGCTATTATAGGTATCGCTTCATTCATTTTCCATCTCCTGGGGATCACTGAACTGTATTGCCTGAGGTCCATTTTCTTGAAAACTGTTGTTTCACATGTTCTGCCTGATGCTTTCATTGTTTCAGGTGGGAGGTTAAATTGGTCCTTGATACTTCATCTTGGCCAGTAGCCAATAACACTCTTTAAGTCTGTTTTATTTTGATACAGGGTCCAATTAAAGATTAGTCACTGCATGTCATAGCTTTGTTTCCTTTAATCTAGAATATTTCCCTACTATTTTTGTTTTTTGGTCTTCTATGACATTGGCATTTTTTTTGAAGAGTCTAAGCCAGTTGTCTTGTAAATTGTCCCACAATCTGGATTTGTCTGTTTCCTCATTTGATTCAAAGTAAACATTTTGGGGAAGAATGCTATATAGGTGATGTATTCTTCATACTTCATCACTTCAGGTGGCCCAGTGCTAAGTTTGATCACTTGATTAAGGTGGTATCTTCCATATCTCTCCATTGTGAAGTTATTTTTCCCCTTGGTAATTGATAAATAATATGAGGTGCCATACTTTGGGATCAGTGGAGATCCTACTTTCAAACAACTCTTCACCCAACTGTGCATCAATGATAATCCTTGTCTGAATCGATTATTACATTGATAGTTGCAAAATGACACTTTCCTAATCTATCATTCCTTTTGCATTTATTAGCTGACATTATTCTATAAAGAAGAGCTCCCCCACTTTTCATTTGGAGTATCATTATGAGCTCATGTGCTTTTTTTAAAATTAACTGTGTTATACCTTATTATAATGATCATGTTATTGTTTGGAATGTTCCTTTTGTCTAGCTTTGGCCAATGTGATCTCTGTTATTGTTTAACCAAATGATGCTTTTTTATTACGAGAATAATTTCTAATATCTTACTACTGACAAATAGGAACTGAGAAAGGGACTCCAGAAGGTGCGGCTCTTCTTGGAAGTCTGCCTTCTTCCTGTGTACTCTCAACCCAAAGTGAGGCTTTGGGGTTGGAAGGAGATAATTCTGAATCAAATTACAGATCAATGTCACCCAATTCTAATCCCTATTCCCTTTTTTTCTAGGAATACCATACTTACTGCCATCCTAATCCTTCTGTTGGGCACCTCCCTCCTCCTCTATATTTATTTACAACAGTCAAGAGCAGCAATTGGCCAACTGGCCCCTATCCTGTTCTCCAGTCCATATGCCCCAAGAACTCCTTTTTGCACTGGTCTTTGGTGGCCTTGGACTACCCCTTCTACCTACTCAAGTAACTCTTTTATCACAAATTTAATTACCAGTGTTTCCATTTATAGGATCTTACCTAGCCGTATGGCCTGCTGCCTCTGCCAATTTAAAAATACTATTGAGGTTGTCTGTAAGACAGTCAAGCTGCGTTGTGACAGTGAATGCCCGACAGACATGACACGTTGTGGTGAGTCTCAATTGTGGGCTAATAAATTTTTAATTTAATTTTTTAATTTTTATTTTTAATCAAGGATGATAAATTTTAAAATTAATGATGTAATTGCATTATTTTAATTCATTCATTCAGAGTTCCAGATCCCTAAGTTTCTAAGAACTACCCCCTTGCTAAAAATCAGATTCTTGGTTACATTATTAAGTTAATAATAGCTCAGGTACATTGTTAGCTTAATAATGTAACTGATCCGCATACATAAAGGAACAAGAGAAAGGAGTGGAAGGGGGAAGGGAATTAACATTAATGACCATATATCCTATGCTGTGCCCTCTGCAAATGAGAACTTACTCATATAGCGCATCACATTTTGTAAACTGATTTATATACATTAAGTCTCAGGTACTCTTTGTCTCATAGGAGAGTTGTAAATATATTTTTGTTTATTTTGTGTGTTTCTGCAATTTTATAAAGAGTACAAGTAATGCTGTTTTATGTCCTATTTGGAGCCTGAGATTTTCTGGTTCCATAACCAGAAGCTGTTACCTAGCCCTTCTAATGGATGGGAGAGCTAGTTTATTCTTAGACGGTCTAGCTCTGAGCTTGCTCTGAATCTCAAGCTTTTCTATCCACAAAACACTCAGGGGGTTTCAACTATTTTTCTATATATTAGATTTATTGGCACTAACTTGATGACTTCCAAAATGTGCTTTCATGCCCAGGTAGCTTGAATACAAGTCTCTTTCAGTGATCTAGAGCACATCGTACAAATAACACTTTGCTACTTATATAAAGACAATATTGCTGATTTTTCAACACAGTTTTTTTTTTCTGGCCATGCCACACAGCCTGTGGGATCTTAGTTTCCCAACCAGGGATTGAACCCGGGCCACAGCAGGGAAAGTGCCATGTCCGAACCATCAGACCACCAGGGAACTCCCCCAGACAACTTTTTTTTTACTAATTATATTACTCCCTTCTCCCCCAGATGTGGGCAGAAAAGGCATTTTTAATCTCCTTTTACAGGTGAGAAAAAACAAGATCAGAGGTGTTAAGTGCTATGACCCTAGTGCCCTGACCTCCTGTCCCCAGTTTGGGGCTCTCTGCAAGCCCATGCTCCTCCTTTCTCAGGACCCTCCCGTCCTCCTTTGACCCTCACCAAAACTACTTTTAATCCTTTTGGAAGAGAAGCCCAGCTACACAATGGTACACATTACCTTCACGCAGTCAGAAGCTTTGGATGGTTCCCCAAGTAAAGCTGGAAATATTAGAAGTAAAATGAAATGGAGGCCAAGTAGCCATCTGACAGGAGTTGCCTGTTCCCTTCTGCAGTTGAAGACCTCAAGTATTATTCCATTGATTTGTTGAACATTCCACATTGGCATATAATCTGGCAAATCTCTTAACTTATACCCCAGATCCCTGCCCAAATTTTAGCAGAGAGCCAGGGCGGACATAGTGTTTTTTTCTGTATAGATCCTTGTGTTATGGGCGCTGGGATATATGGAAGCAGGGACTGAGCAAAGGACTCGGTGGGCGGGTGGAGGAGGACATGTCCAGATGACGACCTGTTAGCGGCGGTTGTTGTCGTGGTCGTCTGTGGTAGCAGCAAGAACACAAGCACACTGAAGAGGTGGAGAGAGGAAGCCTCACACTCCTCTGCCTCTGAGGCAGGACAGGATGGGGTATATGAATGTGAGGAGTCACAGTAGATCTGCAGAGAGTCCAGCTGAGTAGGGGAATATTTGTCTTGCAGCCTTGGCTTTTCTTGAGTACTGGCCCCTGGGAACCAGTGGAGTAATGCTGAATATAGTTACTGTATTTCACGCTACAGAATTTTCTGAGTAGTAGCCACTTTTTCAAGAGATATCTTTTTCACATTTTGTTGTTGCCAGTCATAGGCTTAAGTGTGGGTTTCTTTTTCTCCTAAGTGGCACTCATACTTTGACTGATTCCTAATTTATTTGGCTGTGGACTGACAAAAAGCTGTCCCATCAATTTTCAATGATCAAAAACAGTCCCTTCTTTTTTGACAGATGAAGAAACATCTAATCAGAATGCAGAAGGATCGTTGATGAAGGTGTTACAAGCCCGCAAGAAGAACAACACCACTGAGCTAACTATTGAGTCAGAGAGGGTGTTGTCAGATAAAAGTGCTATCAGCTTGTCAGGCTTCAGGAGTGAGCAGCTGGACTTTAATAATAAAAGTGATATTATCAGTACACTGAATTACATACTGCCTTATATCTCAGAGGGAAATCTAGGAGATGTGGAATCAACATTATTACCATTCATTCAACTTCTTTACTCAAATAAACAAGATGGAGATATGCCGCAGGGCCTTTTGCAAAACAGTACAAGGAGCCCTTCTGTTAAACCTGTAAGCAAGAATTTAACTAATGAAAATAAATTGAGGAAACTCCATTTTGCAGAAATTTTTTTAGATGCAGAAACTCAAGAAAAAATGGATGAGGTTAAAAAGGAAGAAAAACCTGCCACGCGTACACGTTCCAACCTTTCAAGTGCCACGTTTAAACGCTACATCTTTCAAAAGAAATTACAAACTGCCCAACCACAGAAAGACAGCCTAGCAAAGACTGAGAGTACAGAGGAAAGGCTGCTGAGCGTGAACAGGGTCCTCAAGGGCCCAAGGGGCATACAGAAAATGCACATCAAAGCAGTGGGAGATGAGAGCGTCAGGGGGAAACAGAATGCCCAGCCATCGGAGGCGAACACTGCCAAAGAAAGAAGGCTCAGGAGGCCATCCCCAAGAAAGCTGAAACAGCTTCTCATGATGCAGAGTCCCAGGCAGCTGGTGGAAAAGTCCTCCAATGCAGAGTCTTCATCCCCATCTGACGTTAAAAGCAGATCAAAAGACTTATCCAACACTTTTCATGTTTTAGAGGATGCGAAGGCTAGAATTAGAAATATTAAGGACTTCAAACTAACCTCACATACTGGAAAAAAATACATCTTCCATAAAATTAGGTCTCATCAGGTCCAAAGAAAACCCAAAGGCAAAAGGAGTCGAAAGTTCAGAAAGAAAAGTTCACTCAATAGAATGATGCTTGCAAGCCCTCCATTCTCTGTACTGAGTCTCATAAATTCCCCTCCACGAGAAGCTGTTTCATCTTCAGGAGAAGTGACCTCTCAGGAAAAGCCTTTTCCAGCATTATTTTCTCTTCCAGAGCCTTCTGCAGAAAAGAACAATACTGAACAAGATGTTTCTGAAGAAATTATTTCTACAGGAAACTCTACTCTGCCAGGAGGAACCGGCCCTGGAAACACTACCCATAGGAACATCTCCACTGCACATTCTACTGTTGCTGCAGACAACAGTATGCCAACTGTCCATCACACCAACGAAACACAATGGGAGTACCACAACACGGGCACTGAATTATCCTCCAAGCCCACAGGCTTCACTTTCCCAGGGCTCACATCCCCGGGTGATCAAGTTGAAACTCAGCTAAACCAGCAGCTACGGTCCCTCATCCCCAACAATGACGTACGAAGGCTCATTTCTCATGTCATCCAGACTTTAAAGATGAACTGCTCAGAGACCCACGTGCAGCTGGCCTGTGCCAACCTCATCTCTAGAACAGGCCTCCTGATGAAGCTTCTCAGCAAGCAGCAAGAAGTAAATGCGTCCAAAGCAGAATGGTATACGGACGAGTGGAAAGCTGACAACTATATCAGTGAGAGCACAGAAGCCCAGAGTGAGCAGAAAGGGCAGGAGTCAAGTGAGGTGAGGATAACCCCTGACACATGGGAGCTGGACTTTTACTCAGTTTAGGACATGCCATTAACATGCCCAAGCAGGAAT